GAATCGAACCCAGGTCTCCTGCGTCTCCTGTACTGTAAGTGGGTTCTTTACTGCTGAGCCACCAGGGAAGCCTTCTAGTGAGATACATGTATTAAAATAAAGAAGAAATATATATGTATGTATATGTACACACAAACATGCATCAGTAGTAGGTCTGGTGAAGCCAGCTGAAAAAGAAGAAATACATAGTGACTTTTCCCCCAGTCAGTTATTGACAAACAATGGAATTTCATGATGCACTGTCTTTTGTTGTTGACTTGGAACTAGGTTGGCTACCACACTAGGACCATGAATGTAAACACACTTCAGGCTGAGAAAGCATATCCTTTTTGAGCAGTAAGTCTCCCCAGTAAATGTGTACCCAGAAATCACAAGGAACAGATTGAAATTTCAAACTGACTTCTGTGAGATTTGTAAAGCCTTGAAGTTGTTCATGACACCAAAGAGTGTGTGTGAGTTAAATTTGTGCCTCCCGGGGTCTAGCTCCAGGACAAGCTAAAGAGAGGAAAAATTTCCGAGTTGCCTATTCTGCTCTCTCATTGCTGGTTGTGCAGCCAAGTGGGAGAGAACTGAAGATCGGATATTTGACCTTCATTCAGCCTAGGGCGATTCACGTTTGAATGCCTCCGAAGCACAAGAAAGGCAGCATTTGACAGCCCACAGTCCACAGCTCAGAAGAATTTATGTCTTGATCCAGGTAGTAGGACTATCAACCACTGCCCACTATTCTGGCTACTGAAGCCTCATGCAAAACTTCACTCATTTAGTACCAGGGCATCCCAGCCCAGCTGACCTAGTAAAGGAGGTCCCGGCCACTTAAATTTCCTTGCTTTTTAGCTGTGTTGAATCTGCTGCTGTATAGTGAAATTTAATAAAAGACTTTCTACTTATCATGTTTCATTCAGTTCCTATTTCTTATTCCCTCTGAATAAGGAGTTTTAGATTTCCATAAAATGAGGATGATATGAAATCATTATGAATGAGCAACATTTAAATACACTTACCCTTAGGAGAGATCAACTTACTCCCTCAGTTAAAGATGACTATTGGCGAGATTGCTTCTCTCGTATTTTGTCCCTTCAAGAAGTTCTGCAAGAAATGGATATGGAGGGTGAAGAAGAGAGCAACTCAGAAGACTCTTGGTTGCTTTGGGGGATTCAGAGTCTTCCATTTGGTGGGTTTCACAGGAGTATTTTGGGGCATGATTGTTTCTGGTGTTGACAAGGGGAAACCTGAGCCAGATTAACATACCATGCGGACTCTGCTGAGATTCTCATGGAGCTAGGTCTTCTTGCTCCTGCCTTGGAGACCTGCAGGCTGCCTTTGTCAAGAGAGCAGCAGACCCAAAAGGACGGATACGTTTAAAGGTTGTTGCATGGCAGAAACCGACACAACTGTATAAAGCAATTTTCCTCCAATTAAAAAAGAATATCCAACTGCTCCTACCCCCATGTACCTCATTCTCAATATTGCCCAGACATAGTCGCATTCCACAAAGACTCTTGTCTTTCTTTCCCAAAATTTCCTGCCTCTTCCTCAAACCCAGCTGGGAAAGCATGCTCTCTCCCTTCCCCTTAACAGCTCAGTTCAGTTCAACCAATTATTGCATTCTTCTTTTAATGTTTCTGTTTTCTCTCCCAGGTCCAGCTGCCACTCTGGACTCGGGCATAAGACTTGCTGTGGCCCTTGACCGCTGGTGAGTTAGTGGGAAGCTGTGGCTCTGCCTCCAAGAAGACTGTGTGGGTTGGTGCTGGGGCAACTCTCAGCTTAGACTTGGGGGGCCAGGTAGAGCCAAGTGGATCTGGGATGTGCATAAACTGGATCCAGCACCCTGATAGTGTGTATTTATTTGTTTTTTTTTTTCTTCTTGACTTGGGAGCATAGAGACTGGTTATTTTGTTCATTGCTGAATCCATAATCATAAGAAACATGTCTGGCATACATTAGGTACTCAACAATACTGATTGAATGAGTTCATTGAGCCCCTACTATGTATCAGAGATTGTTATAGGTGATAGAAGAGACAGGCACTGCTACCATTTTACAGATGGAAAAACTAAGCAGAAAAGTGACTTTCTCAGGACTATGCAAGATGGGAACAGTTTCCAGATTTCCAGACATCTGGCCTTTAGTCTATAAGAAGCATTTTGTTTCTGAATATTAGCATGCTTAACTTGAGTTCCCCTGTCTTTTTGTAAAGAAAAGTTCTTATTTTCTGAGGGAAAGGACTTTTTCTAAGCTGATGTCCTTTGTGAGCATTTGGTCCCTCTCTGCTTAATTTTTCTGATTTGGAAAATGGCATCACACCGCAAAGTCTACAGATGGATGCTCAGGAAGACAGCACTACCTGACTGTTGGTTTGCTGGGTTGCCATAGCAAAGTACCACAGACTGGGGAGCCTAAAGAGAAGAAATTTATTTTCTCACAATTCTGGAGGTTAGAAGTTCAAGACCAAGCTGTTGGCAGGTTCTTCCAAGGCCTCTCTCCTGATTGCCATCTTCTCCTCTTGTCTGGTCTTCTCTTTGTGCATCTCTGTGACCTAATCTCTTCTTATAAGGACACCAATCATATCAGATTAGAGTGACCTCATTTTAACTCACCTCTTTAAATGTCTTAGCTCCAAAGGCAGCCATATTCTGATTTAGACTTCAGATTGTGAATTTTGGGGCGAGAATCACAATTCAGCACAAACACTTACCCTAAAAAACTTGATTTTACACAGTGTGGGGTAATGTCCACACCTGCTTAAAAACCTCATGATGTCAGTATTGTAAACTTGCAGCAAATTACAGCCGACAACCTGCTGTCTCCTGCCTTTAGTGGCTGCCTCTTTCTGCTCTTCTCCTTGGCTGAGACCAGCAAACCGGTCAGAACAGGTCACCCAGGGATACAGAAATCCAAGAAGAGGGTTTTGTGCCAGGTAAATAAAAGGAATTATCATTCACTTAAGGTTCATTGTTTAAATTATGATGTTTATTTATGTCAATGCAAAATACAATAAAGCAACTTACAAAAAAAACCCCATTGTATCTTCATGTAACAAAACTCTTCAGTGAACAGAAGTACTACTGTTAATATTTTGACCTTTTCAAGGTCCAGCCTTGGGTCAAAACAGGATGCAGAGAAATAGCAGATTTTTTTCTACTTTCCCCAATATACACACAAAGGAAATTTATATATACTAAAATCCCATTCTAGTAGTAATACAAAAATATCACACGTAGAGATGAATACCACTGTTGTGTCATTGGAATTGCAACTTCCTTATTGCTTGAGACTTTCCACCAACTCTGGGCTTCAGTCAGGAACACATGGGTACATCAACCCTTCAGGTTTCCCAAGTGACTGTTTAGTAATTCTTTTAGTATAACTGTATACTCCCCAAGTATCTAATTTACCTGAGTTATTTAGAAACCTGAAAAAAAAAGTCTCTAAGTGATCAAATTTTGTACCAAGCTCTCTGACAGAAGTGAAGAGACTTATCATAGATTATTCTGTGCCAGTTCAGTGGATAAACAGGAAGCCTCAATTACCTAATGAACTACTCACCTAGTAAAAGGCTTCACATTACAATTTTCTCAAAGGTAATAAACATTGCACAAAAGTAGAAGACCTCATCTATATTCCAGTAGTTTAAGTGCTATTTGTCTAGCCACTACATTTTCAAACAAATGGCAATTATCACTTAACTAACAAAATCTTTCTATTATTTCACTGATAAGAGTCAGTCTAACACTGCGGAAAGCAGCAGCAGCTTGGAGCTAGAAGATCTCGACTCGGGACCAGTTCCACCCACTCTCTGAGGCTTAGTTTACTTATGGGGATCAATGAGATGAAAGTGCTTTGTGAAGCAGTATTAACTATAAGGAATAATATTCTACAGAGTTCATCTCTTCAATTAATGTGTGGATCCCTAATTACCCACATGTATTTTGCAACTAAAATCCAACTTTTTCAAGTAGCATATTCACCATATGCGACTGAAATATGCAAGCTGGGTTATGCAAATGGAAAAAAGAATACAGAATTAAGTAAGCCTATTACTCACAGGAGACTTGTGTATTCTTGATGTGTTTGGTTTAAAACCATTAAAAATTTTATTCTGTTTAACACATGGTCCTTTTGTGTTATTGAAGCTCATTTTGAATAAGCTATCTCACTATTTAAAGTTTTTGACAAGAAATTAAAATTTTCATATGAAATTTACGGGGTTTACCTGACTGTGAAACTGAGTTAAATGGGTTGAGAAATACAGAAGGAGTAATAGTCTGAAAACTCAAGGTCAATAAGGAAACTGAATATAGAAGTTTATTTTTCAGGTCATTAAACATAACCTAATGATAGGCCTGTTATTTTTGTTTTTTACTGGTGACTTCCTAATCTATAAATTACTTTTTCTTCATCTGTAAAACAAAAAATATTTGACTTTTAAGGACATTCAAATCTGTAGAAATTATTAATACTTCGTTTTCATTCTTACATGAGGAGCATCTTTAGGAGAATTACATCCTATAGCTTAAGTAAAAGTTGGTATCTCATTTTTTTCATTGGTTAAGAAAAAAATCTTCCTTTAGGAAAGGGCAGATTTACTAAAAGTTTAGAATTCATTGGCAAGTTTGACTATATAATGTGGATATGGACTTTGTGACTCTGCTGAGACAAAGACTTCAGGTAGCTATATTTCTGTAACAAATGCGATTCTAATTTCAAACATTTTTCAAATGCAAATCAGGCCTTCATGAATCATTTTGATGATTTTTTGAGGCATTAATGCAACAGAGTTAGTATTTTTGAAATGATCCCCAAAGTCACCCCTTTGCTAAGGATATTTCTCTTCTTGATTATTTTGAAACTGTTAACATCATCTCTAACCTTCACACAGAAAATGACTGATCTCCAAATGACCTATTATTATCTTAAACCAACAAAGAGAGAAAAATTAAATAGTGCAATAACATTTCATATCAGTGAAACAAAATTTGTCTGTGCATAAAGTAGTTCTATCCATCCGTGAAAAGATCGACCTTTTGTTTTTCCTTGTGTTTATAGGTTACATTTTTAAAGGTACTGGTGGAGCCTCTGTACAGTGGGTTGGTTCCCTAAAAAAAGAAAAAAAAAGTCCAAATGAAAGTATGTATATTTTGTTACTACACAGTTTTAATATATCTAAATAATTTTAGTGTACATTACAGACTGGAAGAAGAAAGTTAGGCTTAATCTTGGAAGATATTTGAATAATTTTGATTAATTTGATATGTCATACTTTTAGTGTTTAAAAATATATACATCTTTACTTTATTGTTTTTTATTATGAAAAAATAATTCTGTATCCTAAAAATCTTGTCCTTTTCGGAAATGCACTAAATCATGGATTTTTGGAAATGCATATGGAACAAAAAATGGCTGCTTTGTTCGCTGCTGTTTTTCCAGAGCTGAAAACAGTTCAACTAGCCCACAGCAGGCACTCAGAATTTATCAAATGAACAGCATGAACCAACAGGTGACCCAGAAGTAAAATGTGAAAGATAAAAATGGGAAAAGTGAACTGGTAGAAGCATACAAAGATGAATGTCATACACAGCGAGTGAAGTCAGACAGAGAAACAGAAATATCGTGTGATGTCCCTTATAGGATGAATTTAAGAAGAAATGACACAAATGAACTTATTTGCAAAACAGAAACAGACTCACAGACAGAGAACCGATTTATGGTTACTGGGGGGAGGGTTGGGGTGAGGGATAGTCTGGAGCTCGGGTGGGGTATGCATACACTGCCATGTTTAAAATGGATAACCAACAAGGACCTACTGTATAGCACAGGCAACTCTGCTGAAGGTTATATAACAGCCTGAATGGGAGGGGGGTTTGAGGGAGAATGGACAGATGTATATGCATGGCTGAGTTCCTTTGCTATGCACCTGAAACTATCCTAACATTGTTAATCGGATACAAAATAAAAAGGTAAAAAGAAAGAAAAGATGAATGACATAGTATCCACCTTTAAGAAATGCATTGATAGAGATGGTGAGAAACATCAAACTAGGGCACAAATAATCTTGTTAAAATAAGACCAAAATTCAGAAGGGGTTGCAACTAGCTTCTTGGGACAGCAAACACCTGCTAGTAATAGTAAAAAGAGTTTGGTGGCTTTCTCTTGCTAGAGAATAACAGTGTGGGAAGGAGAGAGTCACAAGAGATGGGCATGTGGGATGGGCTAGTGACGGAGTGCTGGTCCCCAGGAGGATTGGGCATAACAGCTTTGCCCCTGGGGCAGTAGAAAGGTTGTGTGCAAAGCCTGGATAATTCAATTGCTCTGTCTGGACTGTAGATGTGTTTACAGGTGCCATCACCAGGACCAGACAGCCCAAAGCTCTCTAGGTTTTTGAATAAATGCTCAACCTGAGCCTCCAATTTCTCTTCTTCAGTTTCATTGTTCCATGCAGGCATGAGGTGTCTGGATAAGGAACATTTCCTTTCCTCCAATTTCTCAAGGTTGGGCATGCAGACTTTGGCTTCAGAGAGCCTGGGTTCTAACCCAGCTCTACCATGTAACCTTACTTAAGCAGCTCTGAACCTTGGCATTCTCATCCATAAGAGGGATTACCAAAGTGCCCACCTGGTCCATGAGGACCATACTGCAGCAGGTACCTGGAACATACTAAGTGCTCAAAAAATGCTGCTTCTTCTCATCAGTTCAATTCAGTCACTCAGTCATGTCTGACTCTTTGTAACCCCATGGACTGCAGCACGCCAGGCTTCCCTGTCCATCACCAACTCCCAGAGCTTGCTCAAACTCATGTCTGTCAAGTCGCTGATGCCATCCAACCATCCTCTGTCATCCCCTTCTCCTCTTGCCTTCAATCTTTCCCAGCACCAGGGTCTTTTCCAATGAGTCAGTTCTTTACATCAGGTGGCCAAAGTATTGGAGTTTCAGCTTCAGCATCAGTCCTACCTACATATAACTTCTTTGCATTGGAATTACCTTTTTTTAAGGTCCTGGATAGGGTGCTAAAGATATGCCCCACTTCTGGGCTTTGGGATTCAGCACAGCATTTCCAAGCCCATTTTTGTGTATGTATGGAGCCTGGGTGGCACCTCTGACCCTCTAAATTATCATACTTTGATCTCCTTATCCCACAAATGGCAGAGATGGTAGCATTTTCTAGGCATAGATTTGAAAAAAAAAAAAAAAAACCACAACGCAATTGTATTTGCTTTCTCAGTACATTTCTCTCAGCTCTCAGAAGAACTGAATAAAATTAAAAACTATTCTCTGGCCTCTCCCTCTTGTTTCCCTTGGATGCACTGCAGTATCTTCATTTTGAAGAGGAATTACATCTGCACCTGTTTCTGTGTTGCCCAGAGCCAGTGGCCTACCTCTGACTGAGCAACATATTACCTTTGTCCATGTGCCTTTGCCAAGAGATGCTATCTCAGTAATGAGGGCAAATAAAAAAGAGGTTCCCTGGTTGTGGAAACGAGTGAAGACCAAGTCACTATATTGCTTCTACTCCTGAGGTCAGCTTGGATAATCATGAGGACTCTCCAGTCCTTACTTGGCCTTACTGCAATAAGATCTTGAGATTTGGAGGGTATATGGCAGATGGATGTGGTCTGAGATGCAAGCAGAGTGTTGTTCACAAACAAAATTCATGTGTGGAATTCTACTAAATTTAAGAGATTAATTTAATTGCAAACTAGTAAGTTTAAGTTGGGTACCGAAGAACAAGGGACTCGACTGAAGAGGAAAGATGGGAAGAAATGAGATGTGAAGGCTGGGAGTAATGGGTAGGGCACTGTCCTGGAGGAATTGAGGGACTCAGGAAACCAGACACTGTGTAAGAGGAAAGCTGTGAGTAGGGCCAGGGCAGAGCTTTGTAGGACTAGGAGCTCTTTTGTGGACCCCATCCCAGATCATGTCAGTCATCCCACATCTCACACTAAACACAGTTGATATGCACAACAAAGGAGGTGACTTGAGTTGCAGTTGACTGGATACACAATGCTATCTGGCAGATATTTTGTTGAATGTTTCATTTTGATTGTGCAGTTTTCTTTCTGTGTTTTGAAGCAATGTTGTTTATTAAAGTTTACAATATTTGGTGGGGGTGGGGGTGTCTCTTGCAAAGGTAGTCATAGGGTCTGGGCATGCTAATGGGGGTGGTGGATGAAGCAGACCCCAACATAGTAGCAGGGTAAGGTGGAAGCTTAAAGCGAGGATAAAAGCAAGTACATTTGAGGCTGGCCAGTAGTTTTTCCTGGCCTCAGCCGATGATCAGAACTCAGAAGAATGAGCTCAAATGAAATGTTGTTGGCAGGAGAAAGTGGGGTGATGTCCAGCATTGCCTCCTTCAGTGCCATGCCAGTGGCAGCGTATCTGTCTAGGATTTCCAGCTGAGACACAGGCTTGTGTCTGGCTCCATTTCCGGTGGATCTGCCCTTCTGTGCTGTTTAAACAAGGTCAGGTTTCCTCCAACCCTCTGGAGTCACTAGGCTGACTCCCTCAGGAGTTCTGGGCGGTGCTAATTTAAGCTGTGGATTTTACAAATGCAATGGCACATTTTTTGAGCTTGAAAAAGTGGTAATAAGAAAGCTCTCTGTCATGACCTGCAGCTGCCTTAATGACTGCCTAACTGCCAAGTGTAGACCTGATTTGCTTAGCACAGTGCAAAATCAATCCGTGACTGTAACGAATGTCAGACTGGACGTTTTTTGCCTTCAGTTAATGACCTGTCATCCTAGAAAAAAATGTCTACTCAAAACTGGATTTAAATATCTTCCCTTTATGTTTTCATAAAGACTATGGATGGGGGTTGTATTTCTAAAAGTGTAATAAAAGGTAACCTTTCTTTATAGTTGATGAATGAAATATTTTAGGAGGCAAGAACAAAGCTCTTTCTTATCCAGAACTCTATCACCTTTAGAGTCTAATAGGGGCCTAGGGGTCAGAAGATCCCACTGTTGTCCCTTGAGATCCCCTGGGTTTGAAGACTAAATTCAGTTCTTCGAGAGGAAAAAGGTTTTAGATAAAAACAAAATCAAATCAAAAGACCCCAAAATGGATGCACTGAGCAGCATTCTTTTTTTTTTTTCCAATAGGACATATTAGTGAAATTTGAATTGAATAATTTGAATTAAACCTCTTTTGCATCCAAGTGAATAATTATGACCCAGTCATTATCTAGTCAAGAACATCAAACATTTGTTATTCAAAGAAACTCAATTTAACAGGGAATAATATTTTTCATTTATGCTTTTATCTGTTTAATGCATATTTTAATTCCACTTTAGGTGAAGAGACAACAAAAATTCAGCATTTGAATTTCAGTCATGTTCTACATCCTGAGGGAAAACAATTCATGTTTTGGGGAAAATTAACTGTTAATTAAAATGTTATTTTAAAGATATTAATCATTTGTCAGGATTCATGCCTTTGTAGGAGAACATGAAAAAGTGCTGGTTAGTAGATACACATCAATTGCCCAAGTGCTTGTTTTCAGAACACCTGCCTATTATATCTAGGAGGGTCAAGGCTGTACTTGGAAGAAAAGGCTGCAATTAGGATTTCAGCTCCATCATAAAGCAACAATTTGGGAAATCTCTTATCCTCTCTGAGCCTCAATTTTCTTACATTCAAAAATGGGAATATCAAGACTATTGCACAGGGTTCGTGGTCTTTCAACTAACTACTGCTATTGCATTTTGTACTAACTTAATCACATTCTTGTTTGCTTCTTTTCCAAAAATTTTTCCAATTTAGGTTATTACAGAACACTGAATCGAGTTCTGTGCTATATGCAGTGTGTCCTTGTTGGTTACCTGTTTTACAATAGTAGTGTGTATGAACCTATGGTTACCGGGGAAATGGGTTGGGTGGGTAAGGGATGGATTGGGGGTTTGAGATTGACATGAACACACTAATCACATTGTTTAACCTGGTTGCCTTCTGACCCCTTCTAGGCATTTTCCCGACAGTTGGTGAGAGTTAAAACAACATTTACAGCCAGGGAGTCAGGTGAAGTTAATTGCTCCAATACTTCGACTTCATAGTACTGGGTTCTAAGTCACCAAACTAACTTGTCAGGTTACATTTTTACCTCATTAGAGATAGAAATATTATGTCTTCATTGCAAATCCTCACTTTACATTACTAAGGATTTTGTTTAATTAGGAAAAGTCCACACATACACAAAAGAAGAGGAAAGTCATATCTCGAACCTCTGTAGACCCATCACCCAGATTCAGGGGTTATCAAGATTTTGCCACAGTTACTTCAACTATTCCTCTCTCTCTTTTGGCTGAATTATTTGAGGGCAAACCCAGCTTTCACTTCCTTTTTACTGTAAACCTTAATTATTTTCTATCAAAGCCTCATGCCATTATCCTATCTAACTGAATTAACCATAATTTCTTGCTATCAGTCTAATACCCAGGTCTATACTTTTTTCCAGTCGTCAAAAAATATATATTAGTTAGAGTGCTTAAATCAAGATCAAAACAAGATCTATAGATTGCATTTGGTTATTGTGTCTAAAGGTATTTTTAATGGAAGATAAAGTAGATAAAAAATTTCATGGTCTATTGCCCTGCACCATATATTATATTTATTTCAAAATAACTGCATAAGATATAACATCCGTTATTAAGATAAATGTACCTAAAACAGAAAATTCCATTTGCTTTAGGTACGGAAGATATCATTATAGAACTAGAGAAAAAAGTGTTAACATCAATTATTTGGGGAGATGAACCCAAAGGAACATTGCATTTGCCTGTATTTTCTCCAGTGATATCATGGTTTTAAGAATCAGCAATGTAAGATAATTGCTATCAGATAGCTGGACACACCATTAGAGAGAGAGAGATGAAATTAAAACCATGAAATTGTTTCTATGGGCCTCTAGAAATGTAATTATCTCTCCTGTGGAAAAGAAACACAGAAAATTGGAGTCCTGTTTTGTGTTTTCCCACTGTGAAGAGAAGACACATAAATTATATCTATTGAGTACATATATTTAAAAGTCGATACTTTGGAGGGTTTTTGTTCTTTTTTTTTTCAGGTAGCTGTTTAAAATTGATGCTATTCAGAAAAGCTAACTGGATGGTATTTTAAAAGTCTTCTTGCCTTGCTTTTTTAACCTATTATGAGTAATGAGTATTTTCATGGAAATTGGCATGAACTGTCATACTACTCCTGAACATTATTCCATTAGCTCTAACAGCTGATATATGGAAATGTTTAGATGTAGAATGTATGCTTGTCAAATGGGGCCTGCAGGAACCTTCTGGTGGTAAAGAATAAAATGTATCGCCTTGATATTCCTAAGTAGCTAACAGTATAAGGAGTTTCATGTGACTCTTCAGAGTAGGGGAAATCTTCATTGCAATGAGACAAATGAAGGCTGTGAGGACTATCTGAGTTCCAGATAACGGACAGAGGTCCCTTTGTCCCCAAAGCAGAACAGAAACCAGCTGTTGGGGATGTGGGGAGAGGAGCAGAGAAAGAATGTGACAGTTTAACTCAGTGCAGAAGAAATCCAACACCCCATCTTTTCCTCAGGACAAGGAGTAGTTAGCCCCTAGGTGTGCGCATACCGTTTGCCACTTGGCCTTTGACCTTTCTGCTTCAAATTTGGCAACTTCTTTCCTATCATGAAAAGACACCAGGAGCTTCCAAATGCACAGTAGGACGACTCCAATAAGAAGAATAGCCAGCGAAACCCCCAACATGATCATGGGAATATTTGGAGGTTTTGGACAATCTGTGGAAACAAAGAAAATTATATTAAGGAGATTCAATTAATGTTCTGATGTAGAGAAAACACTTCTCATTAAATTTTCAAACCATACTTTTTCTCCAGTAGAGGAAAGATAATAATCTCTTTTGTTTTGCTGAATTTTAAAAAATGACTTACTTGTTGAAGGATAGCCCTATTTCTTTAAAGGAAACAAAAAATAAAGTAAGAACTTGATTCTTCAAAGCAAATGGATATATACTTGAATGACTGACTCAAAAAGAATTAGAATTCTGAAGAGTGACAATTAATACACATGGAGTATTTAAAGCATCAGTGAAAAGACTGTAGTTTACTAAAGATGACCTCTTTTGAGTATAAGACAAAGTAGAAATGGAATGTGTGCACACACATACACTTTTTCATGGATTTTCTTGAATCATATAGATTACACTCAAAGTTAAATACAACCTACCCCCGAGAAGTATACTACTTGCTCTTCCTTTTAAAATATATAGACAGAAAATAATCATGGTTTTCAGTTTTATTTTCACTCTAATGCAGTGCCCTGGTGTCTTGGAAAATTCCTGAATTGGGTTCAGGAGAGGTGGGTTCCATTCCCATCTGATGGACAGCAGCTGTCTGAAATCCATTAAGTCTCCATCTCTCTGAGAGCCAGTGCCTTCGTCTGTAAAACCAAGGTGTGGGGCTTCAGTGTCCCCTTAACTTCCTGATAAGATTAAACCCAGGTGCTCATGCTTATTAAACCCACCTCTGAAAGACCCATCCCCTGAGATTCTAATTCAGTTGGTGTGGATGGAGCCACAGACTCTTTATTATTAAAAGTATCCCAAGTGATTCTTATCTCTAGGGAAGTTTGAGAAATTAGGTGTTCTGTATAGTCCTTTCTGCTCGAACATTCTATGAAATGTTATTTTGACTCTATTGACGATATTAATACAATTTTGTAATTATACAGTACCTTCTCTCATTGACAGCAGAATGACTAATAATACTTGCAATATGCCTGGGAGATGATACATTTCTTAATGAAGCATTATAATTAAGCTCTCCCTTTGCTATCAGGGAAAAAAAATCCCCCATAAAAATTATCATTAAATATCTGCCTCCCTCTGCAAGAAGTGAGGCAAATACGTTATATCTGGGGAGGAAATGAATCATGCTTAGTTTATCCTAACTCTTATTGCTTTTAGATATTTAATAAAGAGAGTTATACACACAGGACGAGTCATGCTGCTTTCAAGGTAAGATCTATAGCTGATCTGAATTTGAGCGGGACTAATGACGCCTCATAGCATGACGCCTGGCCTCACACAGTTTTGTTCTTTAGCCAAAAAGCCATGTAAGGTGATTAGGCAGAAATAAGTAGAGGAGTTAATGAAATAGTTACTACACTATGAAGATCTAAAGACCGTTTCTAGAATAGCAAATGAACCATGGCTGCTTCTAATAGGTTAGCAACACTCCTGCAAAGAAAGTGGCAGGCCTGTGTCCATGAGAATATATACTGGCTATATCTTTGACTATGAAATGTCTGGGGTGGGGCATAGAATGTTCTTGTTTGAAGCAAAATGAAGCTTGCTGAGACCCTGTGGCCAGAACATGAATTAGGAGGGCTCTCTGATAGGCAATAAATATAGGAGGAATGGGCATGGCCTGGTGGAGATAATCATTTGAAGAATTTAGAGTCACTGGGAATTAAACATTTGTCAAGCAAGGATTTTGGCCCAGGCTCCATAACAGGTATTACACAGAAGAAATTTCCACTTTCCATACTCTCTTCAGTATCTCTTGAGATGCTCATACTGAAGACACGTTGTAGGTAGGAGGAAAGGCTTTCTCTATCACTGTGTACCATCCAGGCTTGTCTGTTGAGTCCAGGTCAGTGTGGCACCTAATTCTAAGGTGCTGAATTTCTAATGCTGCCAATCTGGTAGCCCAGTCACGTGTGGTTATAGCTCAATAGTTACTAGAAATGTGATTTTTCAGAATTAGGCTTTGTGTTAAGTGTGAAATACACTCTGATTTTGAAAACTTGATAAGAAAAAAAGTACAATATCTCATTAACAATTTTATATTTACTGTACATTGACATAAGATCTTGGATGTAATGGATTAAATAAAACATACTATTAAAATTAATTTATTTTATACTTCTTATGGGAGGCGGGAGGATGGCTCCAAGAGGGAGGGGTTATAGATATAATTATAGCTGATTCATGTTGTTGTATGGCAGAAAGTAACACAACATTGTAAAGCAATTATCCTCTAGTTAAAAACTACATAAAGGGTAACTAGAAAATTTAACAATACAATGTGATTTGCATAACATTTCTATGGGAGAGTGCTCTCTGACAGAATCTGGGAATTCAGATTTCTTTATGCTCATTCAGCCAGTGGGAGGCAGTATAGCACAGTAGTTAAGAGCACGAGCGCCTGGCCAGACTGCCAGAGATCCCAACCAGTGCTAGTGTTTAATTGCTGCAGGACCTAGCAAATTATCAACGTCTCAATTTCCTTACCCATAAGATGGAAATAATAGCAATACCTGCTTTATATGGTTGTTGAGAATGTTAAATTAAAACATGTAAAATATATAGAATAACACCTGACATGGTATTAATAAGGGCTCAATAAATGACAGCTGCCATTACTGTTAGTAGCAGTAATAGCAGTAGAATTACACAAAGACACCCTTCTCCCTTTCTATCCTCAAGACCTCAAGGGCTTGGAATCTCCAAGGTGGAACCTGTGGATGTCAGATCCACACTCACATCCGTGCCAGGAAGCCTCCCCAACTATCATTCATCGTGGTTCTCATGAATGCGGCTCTTGTCTGCTGAAAGCTTCTCTGGAAAATAGATGAGTGAAGATATCCCTACATTCACACACACACTGATGGTGACTCTTCACTTGGCTATCTTTTTCTATTTGGTAGGAGAACCCTGGGGCTCCTTAACTTTCACATTCTCCTTTCTCATTTTGCCTCTTTTCTCCGGGTGCCTCCAACCGGCTGCCCTGGGCTCTCTGGCCTTAAAGCTGTGAGAGGGGACAACAGACTCCAGGGTCAGGCTCTGTCCAGGGCCACCGGAAGCTCTGATCTATCCAGGAACATTTACCAGGAAAGGAGCATCCTTCAAAGCTGTCAGGGGACTCCTGTTAAACCTTGGGGAGGTCATTTCCCCCTCACTTTTTCCTGCTACAAAAGCAGAGGGGGAATAAAAAGCCTTAATAAAAAGACATCAGGGCAGCCGAGGGCTTCTCAGAAAGATGGCATGTTGATACGCCACTCATATTGTGTGGACAAAAGAAGAAAAACCCAACAGTTCAGTAATGAGGAAGCATTTAGCAACCAAAGGCATGTTTCACAAGAAAAGAAAAAAAAATCAACTAGACACAAAAGTCCTTGAATTAAAGACAGAGCCTATTCTGGAAAGTTTCATTTTTGTTTGAAACTTGCTTTTCCAGTGAAGTTAATAGTATAAGGAATAGCTTTGAATCCAGGAGAACTAGTTAAAGCCATTAGCATGGTCACAGAGGGCGGGGGGTGTAGGTAAAGAATTTGTCTGTAGAAAACAGATAATGAGGAGGCAGGTGTTTGTACTATAAAGTATTTCTTCTTGGCACAGCAGGAATCACCTTAAATTTCCTTAACTAACGGCCTCTACAGTGCCCTTTATGTATGCATTTCAGATGAGATCTGGTGTGTTCAGGGTGGTATGGCCCTAGACAATATGTATGCATTTCAAAGAAGCTGATTTACAGGAGCTATTCAAGAGCAAGTCTCCAGGAGTACTCTGCCCATCTGAGCAACAAGGTCACCATCAGACACTTGTATCTTGCATTGTGCTGACCTCTACCTCTCCCTGACCCTTAGCACTACAATGTGGTACTTTTCTAATCTTGTTTTCTTGGTAAGTTCATAGTGCTTTGAACTTACTTCCTGATAATGGTGTCATTGCTTTTCACACTCTTAAGTGATGGCAGTCTGGTGCTCTCAGGTTCACATTCAGGACTGGATGCTTTGTCAGCCCATTGGTAGACCAGCACACACGACAAAACGCCTCAGCCTTCTAGCCTGCCTTGCTGCTATTGTCTGGGCCAGAAGTTGGGCTCCAGGCTTTTGGGGGAAAGAGGAGGAGGCTGATGACAAGAGCCAGAGAGGTCTGATTTCATGCAACTGTCGTTTCTACTGCAAAGGTTTAGGGGCACATCATTAATTGAAGACAGAAAAGGTGAGGCCCCTGTGAGTATCTAAGCAGGCAGACAGGCCTGTGAGGGTTAGAGTCACCCAGAAGAGGTCTAGAAGCCAGCTCTGTCAGAGTCACCTGGAGAAATGTTAAAATGCAGAGTCCTGGGCCATGTCTGGCCTGTTGACTCAGGACACAGGCAGTCTAACAAGCTCCCCAGCTGAAACTCACTAAAACTTAAGAATGTCTCAACAAAAGTGCTTTTCTCACTATTTTCTTCTCTCCTGGCTATAAGCTTCTCTCTCACACCTTCACTGAAAATGAAGCTGACTCCATGAATTGCTATGGAGGAAAACTCACAAGAAGCGACAGACTCTGACTTCCTTTAGAGATTCCTTCCTTCTTTCCTTGTCACTCATGCCTTTTCTGACTCAGCCATCATTTAACGACCCATTGGGTAAGTTATTAACTAGTACATGTTTTACATGCATTTTTTCACTTAATCCTTGACTCAACCCTTAGAAGGAAGTACTGTTGTTTTCCCCATTTTACAGATGAGGAAATAGAGACATGCAGAGCAAGTATCTTCCAAAACATCAATGAAGTGGTGGAGCAGGATCTGAGCCCAAGGTCTGCCTGATTCAAAGCTTGTTTTCTTAGACTGTTGTACTCCTCTTCCCTGTTAGTCTTTCCTAAAACCATACCTTTCGTTGACATTTAATTGGTCCATCTTTCTATAATTCATCAGCCACCTTTTTGGATTGGAACACTCTTCTCTTGTATTTGGTCTTAATAAGAGACATTGGAACATACCAAACCTTTCAATAGGTATCTTTCAGTCATTGGGAAATCAAAAATTTGGAAATGTCTTTCCTGGAAAGCTACCCAGAGTAACTATCTGATTGGTTTCTCCTTTCCCATGTAGTATCTTTTATCACTGACAAGGGAAGGCAAGCCACCCACCTTTCTCGTTGATGCTGTGAATGATGGTTTTCCCTTCATTATCTGTAGTTAGTAGGAATGTAATAAGGCATTCATTTTCTCCTTGCAGAGAACAGGAAACAGAGCTATCCTCTGAGAAATCTGTAGATAAAGAAGTCATTCATTAGGTTAAATGAGTTTCCAAAAGATGTTTTTTTTTTTTGAAGCAAAGTAGTATTGAGTTTTATTATGCAAATAGAAATTTCCAACACTGCAGAATAGGAATAGAAAAGACATAGGATTTTCCTCCACCCACTGAGGGTTTAATTTCTACTACTGTTCCAGAAGAACAGTTCCAGGTGTGGTCAATCAGGACTGACCATCAAATGCACCCATCAGTCTGATAGGTGCACAATTTCAATGGATTGAAGTGCTTCAAGGCAGGTACTGTAATGGGAATAGAATGGCTCAGATTATGGCAGTGAGGAAGCCATATGGTTTCTTTGGCTCAGAGTATCTGGGAAGAAGCCTAGATTACATTTCAGAAAGAGACTACACAGTTCAAACATAGTGGTATTTCTAAAGGGGCCTTTTCCACAATGTCCTAGTCAGATTGCTGGCCATATATGCTCATAACAGTAAATATAAATCAATACGAGTTAACAGAGGCTGAAGTGTTATATAGCATAGGGACCAGCAGGATAAAGATAAATCCCAGAATAAAAGGAGACTAGGATGCCCTGGTGGCACTAGTGGTAAAGAACTTGCCTGCTAGTGCAGGAGACTTAAGAAATGTGGGTTTGATCCCTGAGTTGGGAAGATCCCCTGGAGAAGGAAATGACAACCTACTCCAGTATTCTTGCCTGGAGAATCCCGTTGACAGAGGAGACTGGCTAGCTACAGTCCATTCAGTTGCAAAGAATTGGACACGACTGAAACAAATTAGTGCAAATACACACAGAGGACGCCCATTGGCCTACCACTCATATAGCCCTTTCCTCAATTAAAAAAAAATTTCAATTTTCCTCAAATCTTTTTCAAATAAATTTGAGGTTATTCAAGAACCAGAGAATGAATGTCATGACAGAAATTGATAATACAGTAAAATGGTCAATAATGTTAATACTATGTATCAGACATTTTAGTGGTCTGATACCTATGCCAAAATTATGTAAGGTTTTTCTAATTAAAAAAAAACTTACTTAAAGTTCTCCTCTAAGTTAGAGACTTTTTAATGATACTGTTACACTTTTTTGTGTGTGTAAACATGTAAATAGAATGACTGTTTGCTCTTATCTTAAAATTTTAAGACATATGATCCGAGTGAAAGTCGTTCAGTTGTGTCCGACTCTTTGCGACCCCATAGACTATACAGTTCATGGAATTCTCAGGGCCAGAGTACTGGAGTGGGTAGCCTTTCTCTTCTCCAGGGGGTCTTCCCAACCCAGGTCTCCCACATTGCAGACGGATTCTTTACCAAGTGAGCCACAAGGGAAGCCCAAGAATACTGTAGTAGGTAGTCTATCCCTTCTCCAGTGGGTCTTCCCCATCCAGGGATTGAACTAGGGGTCTCCTGCATTGCAGGTGATTTCTTTACCAGCTGAGCTATCAGGGGAGTCCATACGATCCAAAGCAAGTGTCTTATGATACAATTGGTCAGAATATAAAACTGGGATTGTCTCTGATAATCTTGGACATAGTCTTTTTAGATCTGTAATTTTTCTCATTAGCTTCAACATAAAATTTTTTTCAATAAAACAGAATCTAGCTATGTTCCTCTGACTCTAATGAAGAAAAATTAAGCAATAATCTATTTTTGATTTCACAATGCCATAGCCATAGAAAGATAGCAAATTTTTTTTGCCTTTAATTTATAAAATTAAACACCCCATGCCGAAGTCATAAGAAGCACGCCTGTATTATCCACAACAACTGAGACTAGTAAAACATTTGAAAGTAAAAGTCGCTCATTAGTGTCCAACTCTTTGCAACCCCGAGGACTATACACTTCATGGAATTCTCCAGGCCAGAATATTAGAGTGGGTAGCCTTTCCCTTTCCCAGGGGATCTTCCCAACCCAGGGGTCAAACCCAGGTCTCCCACATTGCAGGTGCATTCTTTACCATCTGAGTCACAAGGGAAGCCCAAGAATATTGGAGTGGGTAGCCTATCCCTTTTCCAGTGGATCTTCCCCACCCAGAAATCAAACTGGGATCTCTTGCATTGCAAGCAGATTCTTTACCAACTGAGTTATCAGGGAAGCCTTTAGCATTATTAATAAGATTTTAGAGGATGAATTTAAGTGAACAAACTGTTTCTGAATCCATTTGTTGGTGTTGTTTAATCACCAAGTTGTGTCTGTTTTGCAACCCCATGGACTGTAACCCTCCAGGCTCCTCTGTCCATGGGATTTTCCAGGCAAGAATACTGGAGTGGGTGGCTATTTCCTTCTCTAGGGGATCTTCCCCACCTAGAGATCCAACCTGCATATCCTGCATTGGCAGGTAGATTCTTTACCACTAAGCCACCTGGAAAGCCTCTTCAAATCTTTTACAAGCATCTTATTTACATAGGAATATTAAGAAATCTAATTACAAACTATTCTCATCTGGTCATTCCCAACTGTTTACCATCATCTGCCTGGGAAGCCTCCCAGGCAGCACTAGTAATAAAGAACCCGCCTGCCAAGGCAGGAGACATAGGAGATACAGGTTCAGTCCTTGGACCCAGAAGATCCTTTGGAGGAGGGCATGGCAACCCACTCTAGTATTTTTGCCTGGAGAATCAGATACAACTCAAGCGACTTAACATGCCCACACGGAAATCACCTAGGAGTTTTGAAATGATGGATTCCAGGGACTCACCCTGGCTACTCTGATTTGAGACGTCTGTGGATGGGAGCTTGCATATTCGTGAATTGTTAAAAGTATCTTTAAAGAGGTGATTCTGATGAAGAGGTTTGGGCACCTCCAGACAACACTTGATTAGTGAAATTTGTGCTATTTCATGTGTTTGACAGCAACAACACTACATATATAATTCATACTTTGGTCATTTCCAGGTGACCTCCACCACACATTCTCCTACCAAGCCATTCCAGTTAGCTAGGACTCATGGAATCTTATGGCATATGCTTTTACTTGTTGGAGTGTTTTTTTCCTTCCCTTCCTGCTTTGCCATGACAGTGCACACCCGCCCTGCTCTTCTAAAACTTACTTAATGGAACACTTCATTCTCAGGTAGAAAATATGTGGACAGCTTATAATACTGCTTTCAGTAATATTAATCCTGCTTTTTTATTTCCTCTTAAATAGCTACACCAAAGCACAGGGAGGCTTAATTTACTTGGCCGGGATTTTTTAAGTTTTAATGGAACTGCTAACATGACCTTTGAGTCATGACTCCCTTCTTGCTTTAATTACTTCACCACTCCTTTTCATGACTGTTATGACTCTAGATTTTGCCTGTTTTGTAGTGTTTGGGTATTAAAATGGCATTATTGAATGTGTAGTGAAAAGGTCCAGCTTGGGCTGGAGATTTGCATAATTAGCTGCTAAGCTTTTCTTTTGTTATTCATTAGAAATGGACCTTTCTGTTTTACCCACTTGTAAGAGTGCTAGCAGCACTGTTTTAGAATAATAGAATGAAAATAAGATCTCAGGCAGTCCATGAAATCGTACATAGAAAAGGAAGAAATGTGAGAATGGAGGTTAAGAGGCCGGGGTCTGGGAAGGTCTAGGAAGGATGTGGAAAATATAAACTGTCTGCACCATTGACTCAAGATAACCATGTATTTGAGACCTTCCCTTTGGGGCAGAGACAGTACTTCTCAGAGAAAACAGTTTCCCAGGAAAGAAAAAAATAGGGTTCTGGGGTCAAATAAGTTTGGGAATCCCTCCTTACTCTAATTTTTCCTTTTGCCTCACCTGAAGATTCACAATGCACATTTAATTTAATGTACATGACAGCTCTCAGTCTTGCAAAGCAAACAAAAAGCTTAACTTCCCATTTGCAAAATTCATATGACCATTGGTGCTTTTGTCCGTGTGACATTTTCAGAACTAGGGTTCCATGGAACATACTTTGAGTAAACAATGCTCTGAGTACATGAATGTTGGGGTAAATTCAAGACTTCTATTTCAGTAAAAAGGAATATAAAAATTAAGCCACATGGCCTTAGAAATGCTCACACAAGTCATCATAGCACATTTGAGGAATAATTTATTTAGATTATGAAGTTTATGCTTACTTTACTCTTCATGTCCTTGTGAGGGGAAGGATGAGCTGATAAAAGATCCCATGGAAGAGCAAATATGCAGTGATAATTTTAAGATGATACGATCAATAACATGACTGAGTGAGTAATTTGGAACAGGACTTATTAAAAAGGCCCATTAGAAGATACATACACTTGCGGCACTCATGGTAAAAGAATCTGCCTGCCAGTGCAGGAGACACAAGAGGCATAGTTTTGATCCCTGGGTCAGGAAGATCCTTTGGAGTAGAAAATGGCAACCCACTCCCGTACTCTTGCTTAGAAAATCTCATGGACAGAGGAACCTGGCAGGCTACAGTCCATGGGGCTGCAGAGCTGGATAGGACTTAGCGACTTAATAACAACAAGAGCAACAACAACAACCCATTAGAAGAGTGACTTTTAGATTCTCAGGCTGACAAAGATATTTTTTCTTTCAAATTCATCACAATTACTGCTTTAAATGGTATTAGTAAACCAATCACTTTGATTTCTGAATTAGAAATAGTTGTAGTTCCCTATTTTGAAGAAAATTTAGTCAATTACACCATAAGAATAATGAAACAATTTGTAGGCTACTTGAGAATATAATCTTTCTCTCAAATCCAAGCACTTATGATCATCTATACTCAGAAAGGCATTTCCATGGTGGTTCAGATGGTAAAGAATCTGCCCATGATGCGGGAGACCCAGGTTTGATCTCTGGGTCAGGAAGATTCCCTGGAGAAGGAAATGGCAACCCACTCCAGTATTCTTGCCTGGAAAATCCCATGGACAGAGGAGTTTGGCAGGCTACCATCCATGGGGTCTCAAAGAGTCAGACATGGTTGAGCAACTAACACTAACTAACTAACTATACTCAGAAAACTGTATATGTACATTCCCTATTTGTGATTTACATGTTTCCAAGGTTGATTTCTTTTTCCCCTCAGCACATTAGATGTCCCATGCTGTTAGTTACTTTGGTTCCAGTCATTTGCAGGGCATTTTCTGCAATTTTTAGTCATTTCTTTGAAACACATGGTAAATATACCAACTGTTTGCTGTGAAATGAAGCCAGAGGATATGCTGAGATTGTGGACTTGTTACTAATGTGGACAGGCCACAAATGCCATCTTACCCTGTGCTCAGTGTGTATTAGTGTAAGGTATTAGTGTATTAGTGTAAGGTACATACCATCTTGTCCAATTTATGGCTATTTGGCATATTTATCTTAAGGCACCAGAAATGCACAGGCAAGGGGTTTAATGAGCGCTAAACCCACCCCTCCATATAGGGTCATTTAACTGTGCATAGTCAGAAACCTCAATTTTAAAACAATGTTGGTAATTTTCAAAACAATAGAAACATCACTAACTTATATCACTTTGGAAATGGATTGATTTCTGTATTCTAGTTTCATTATTCAGGACACATATGCTAGATTGTCATAAATTATCATCTTGGTTATTTCACTCCACCCAAAATACATAGGAGTTGCATCTCTAAGGTGTGCAGAGCAAGGTTCCTACCTGAGCAGCGGTTTCTACCTCATGGCGGGTTTGTGATGATGGAAAAACAAATCCCCCCAGACAGTCCCTTTAGGAGGGGCAGTCATCAGTTTTGTGTTTTTTTTAAAAAAATAGTTTTATTTTAAAGATCACAAATTAATTTTTAAATGCCTTCCCAGCTAAAATACCACCTATTTACATATCTGAGATAACCTTTTGCCATTAGAAGGAATCTGATTTTAAGTAAGTCACTTCAAAAATGGCAGACAGAAGCAAGAGCAGAGTTCGCTTAGCAGTTAAAGGTAACAAGGCTTCCCAGGTGGCACAGTGGTAAAGAATCTGCCTGCCAATGCAGGAGACACAAGAGACGCAGGTTCAGCTCCTGGGTTGGGAAGTTTTCCTGGAGGAGGAAATGGCAACCCACTCCAGTATTCTCGCCTAGGAAATCCCTTGGCAAGAGGAGCCTGACGGATTGCAGTCCACGGGGTCCCAAAGCGTGGGACATAACTGAGGTACTGAGCAAGCACCTCCTAAAGGGAACAGGCCTTTGCTGGAGTTTGGGACTGAGGGCACAGAGGGTTAATGATGACCATGTGGAGGGGCAGGGTGGGAGGGCGGTCTACGACACGGGGAGGTGGGGGGGGCGGTATATGTTTACACAGGGCTGACTCACTTCATTATACAGCAGAAACTAACACAATATTGTAGAGCAACTGTACTTCAATTAAAAAAAAAAGATGACGATGTAATATCCATGTCTGGAAAGTTGGGAGTAAAAACATGGAGGGAAGGGGAGAAAAAGTGGCCACTAACCAGAAACTGTCCGATGCCTGAGGGCTGCTATCAGAAAACCCATACTACACCTCACTTCTTCCTATCGTGAAATAAGGCAGGCAGACGACAGAGGATGATTTCAAGTTAGGGGGCTAATATTTAGCTCTTTCTTCAATTTTCCTCTTTTCTAATTAAAAACAAAAATTACAGCATTCTGGAATTCTCTCCAGCTGCATGTGTTAAGCAGAGATGAATCTGCCAACAGAGCTGAAGCCAAACAGAAAAGCTGGGACTTTAAATTGCTTGTATCCCAAACCATCAAGTCTTTAGCCTTCTGGAATGCATTTACTCTTAAAAATGAAAGCGAGTGAACTAACCCCCCCCACCCCCCCCCCACCCCCCCCCCCGTACAAATGAGGCTGAGCTACTGAAAAGCCCTCCACAGAGTTTCTGCCTCTCTAAAACTGTGCAAAGGAAAGGAAAGCAATTTAAGACAAGTAGAACCTTCTTCTTCATTGATGGTCGCACCAGCTAGTTTGCATTTGTCAACACATTCTTCTTGGACCTGGCCATCTGCAGACAGGTAGCATTCAATGCAGCTCCTGTGAACATTATTCAATAGAGTTAATCAGTTTTGTGATGGTGTAAAAATGGATATGCAATTGGGATTTTGCTTTCATGCTGTTACTGTAATTCCAGCTATAGAAATGTCTCAGAGAGGATGTTGTGTTTTGTTACTTTCAGAAAGATGGTTGGGTGATATCCAAGAGGAAACTGCTTTAGTCTGAATTCCACTCAGTAATTGTTGCTCCCTAAGGCAGCCTTGATAAGAACTACTATCCTCATTATCTTTAATGATTGCTTCTGATTGGTCAGTTAAAAAAAAAAATTTCCCCAACAAAAAAAATCCCAATTATTTTGGTATTTAATTTAGCTATATTTTCATTATACATTTTCCTGGGAAGGATTTATGCTGCTAAAATAAGATTAGAGAATAAAGTGTGAATTTCTTAACAGAAATAATTTGTATTTTAACAAGAATTCCAAAAATTCTCATATGTCATGAATGACTATTTCAAAGATTCACTTTTCTGTAACTCTTTTGAATGAGTTCAAACCTTGATAAGAGTATTTTCAAAAGCTGAGGATTACAGCTGGATCCTCATTAATGCAGATTTTTAAGTAAAGGATTGCTACTTATTTAAAAGTGTATTTCCAAGAACATAACCCAGGAATTAAGCTACTCTACTGATGGCTATACAGCAAAAGTAAAACTTAGATTCTGAATTAATCTTGTGCTGAAAATCACTTTACAAACAGATAGTGTTTGGGGTAATCCAAAGCTGCAAAACTTTTCTTACTGTGGGCACGCATCATACTGCCTCTCTCTTAACTCTGGCCCAGGAAAGGTACGCTCTTCTAAGCGCTGGAAACACTCCGCATTCCCACTCATGCCTTATCACATCTCAGCTGAAACCGCACTTCCTTAGGCAAGCTTTCCCTAGCCCTTATCAGTTCCCTTGCAGTGGAAGCCTCTGAATTCCTCTGCTGGAAGGGTTTAGGAGCAGCACTCTGTGGAGTGGGGATAGGAATCTTATCTGGAAGTTGCCTTTGCACCGCAAGCACACTGCACTTATCGAGGTTATGTATTTACTTGGGGTTGTTTTGTAGGGGGCTGCTGAAGACTGTGAAAGCCTTAAAACCTCTATCTCTTTGTGTACCCTACTGACGGCTGCCCAAGCTAGGCTAGTAGCTTTATCTCCTGTCAGAGAATTCTATTGTTCCCTCTTTATCCCCTATTATAACTGTCAGCCCAGATATCATTATAATTACTTTTTAAATGTTCTGTCTTTGCCAGTAGATGCTTAGCACCTGTGACAGCAGGAACTATAGCTGTTTCACTATCACTGTATGTCTAAGACTTAACATAATTCTGGCCTGTAAGTAGGTATTTAACACCTATTTGATAAATAAGTGCATGAAAGAATAAATGGAAGAATCGATTCACCTCAAAACTAACAAATACCAAATGGATCACTCTACTCAATTCCTCAAATTCAAACTACTTTGACCATTAATTTCATACCTTATAAACCAGATCTAAGATTGAAACATGTCTGATGAAACAAACAAACTTCTGGTTACCAAAGGGGAAAGGGGAGAGGGAGGGGATAAATGAGGAAGTTGGAATTAACATGCACCTAGTACTATATATAAAATAAACAAGAATTTACTGTATAGCACATGGAACTACCTACAATGGAAAAGAATCTAAAGCTGAACACCTAAAACTAACACAATATTGTAAATCAATCATAGTTAAATAAAATTTTTTTCAAAAGAGATTAAATAAGGTTTACAGAGAAGATAAAATAGAAAAATAATGGAATTTAATATTAAATTGTATTCAAGTAAGCCTAACTTTGGGCTTCCCAGGTGGTGCGCTAGTGGTAAAGAACCCGCCTGTCAAAGCAGGTCAGACATAAGAGACACAGGTTTGATCCCTGGTTTGGGAAGATCCCCTAGATCCTCTAGTGGGCAAGGCAACCCACTCCCGTATTCTTGCCTGAAAAATCCCATGGACAGAGGAGTCTGACAGGCTGAAATCCTTAGGGCCTCACAAAGTCGGACACGATTGAAGCAACTTAGCACACACATACACAAGCCTAACTTTGTGCCCATGCTTCTCTTGGCATCTGTTCAGGCCCAGTGACAGAGAAATTTTGACACTTGAATAGTGTGTAAACACTGAGTGAAAATTGGTAATATTGATTTTCTTACTTTGTTCACATTGGATATGCACATGTCCCCATTGTGGGTACCAAGTTTTTTTTAAAGAAAATATGAACTGCTGAAGCATGTTTGCTGTATAATACATTAAACCTGCAATGTCATAACACAGCCAGTTTGGAGATTTGCTTTTCTTGACCTCAATTTTTCATTAAGAAGTTAGCTGCCAAGCTAAGAAGAATTTTTTTTTTTACTGGAAAAAAATATGATTGCTTTTTGTTGTTGCTCTTTGATGATAAAAAGAAAGTGTAATTTGCTCTGTAGAATGGCAACCAACGAAAGTTGCCAAAGAGCATGAATGGTAAGAAAGAGGGGAGGAATTGAGAGCCAAGATCATCTTTCTGCTTCTTTGCCTTTTTGAGTCTGTAGACAGGAATGAATCAGTAAGGTCAGGCTATAAACTCGACAAGAAACTCCTCTGTTTCCCTGTAAAAAGTACTAAAAGTGAGTGTCAGTCTCCCCCCAGGGCACTCCTGATGTGTGGCTGGTATTGTAAGGGAGAGGCCATCTGATGTTATCAGTGTGGGACCTCAGCTTAGCTTCCTTGAGAGGCTCTCATAGAAATGTGACTTTGTGGACCTGGAAAATCAGCATTGGGAGGTAATGGAGAGGCTGATGTTCCAGGCTGTTGATCACAAGGGCCCTTCGGGTTTGTGTGTTTTGATGGATGCTTGGAGCCCAAAGCCAGCAAGAACAGTCTGAGGTCTGAGTTTATAAAATGTCGTTACAACTTTGATCATCATGAAACCTAGGGACAAAGAGAGATTTTTGTAGATGGTAGATACATTACCGTTTAGAGTTGCAGAGATCGCCGCAGGTGGGACAGCGTTCACAGGTGGGTCCCGAGGCTCCAGGATTCGTGCAGATGCACTTGCCGCACACACAGTCCCCTCGGCCGCTACAGAGGATCCCGTCCTCGGAGACACAGGGGTCCGTGCTGGTGGTGCAGTTACAGTACTCGCCTGTCCAGCCGCTCCTGCACACGCACTCACCACAGTCACAGTCGCCATTATCTGCAAAACAAAATTCCGGGTTTCTTAGGGCTAAAACCACTTCCGGATTTTGTGGACCATCATTTTTCTTTGTCTTTAAACACCATCAAAAAGACTGAAGAAAAAAAGAGGGGAAAAAGTGAGTGCTGTGCAGGGGTGGGAAGGAGTGTAGATAGGAGTGTAGTTTGCTAACGGTGTGTATTTATTGACTCCGTCTCTTAACTGAAGATCAGCTAGGTTGCCTGATGTTATATCCAATAGAATTTATGCGCTGGTTTCCTAGGTGGCACAGTGGTAAAGAATCGCCTGCCAATGCAGGAGACTCAAGAGATGAGGATTCAATCCCTGGGTTGAGAAGATCCCCTGGAGAAGAAAACTGCAACCCACTCTAGTATTCTTGCTTGTGGAATCCCATGGACAGAGGAGCCTGGAGGGCTATAGTCCATTGGGTCACAAAGAGTCCAACACAACTGAGCACGAAATGAAATGAGATAATCTAGAAGCCTATAGTTAGCTACTTGGTGTGTGTGTGTACGATTATGTGTATGTATATATCCAGTTGGCCCTTGATCAACCCATGGCTTGGGGCACCGCCCCCTACTCTTGGGTCTCCCCTCAGTCCAAAGCCTGAGAATAACTTTTAACTCCCCCCAAACTTAACTGCTAACAGCTTCTTGTTGACTGGAAACCTTACTGATAAGATAAACAGTTGATCAACACATATTTTGTATGTTACATATATTATATGCGGCTTCCCTGGTAGCTCAGCTGGTAGAGAATCCGCATGCAATGCAGGAGACTCCGGTTTGATTCTTGAGTCAGGAAGATACCCTGGAGAAGGGATAGGCTACCCACTCCAGTATTCTTGGGCTTCCCTAGTAGCTCAGATGGTAAAGAATCTTCATGCTATGCGGGAGACCTGGGTTCTATCTCTGGATTGGGAAGATCCCCTGGAGGAGGGCATGGCAAACCACTCCAGTATTTTTGCCTGGAAAATCCCCATGGACAGAGGAGCCTGGCAGGCTACAGTCCATGGGGTCGCAAAGAGTTAGACATGACTGAGTGACTAACTGTATCTATCGATACTGTAAGTTTACTAGATGAATCATCTGGCAGTACCTACATCAAAATCATCTTATAATACTATAGATATTAGGCAAATTACTAACACTAGATATCAAAAATGAAATGATAATGTGAAAAAGAAATTCATGTTTATTTACAGATATAGCTATTTATGTATTGATAATGAAGAAACAATGATATGATTACTTTATGGCAGCCTAGTGTAATTAGTATCATTGCTTCAGAGTAGCCTAGCCTATACACCAATGAAGGAATTGTTAAAATGTTTATGGCTATAGTATTATGGACATATTCATATTACAAACATGATTCCCTTTTCTTAAAAACCACTTACCTTTAATACTAGGCTGATATGCAGTTTCTCCAATTATGAGAGAGGTATACTAGACAATAATATAATGCTTTGAAAGCAAAGTTATCAAACAGTAAGAAAACTAACACATTATTAATTTTACATTAAATATCACTCACTTTATGCCTATGTAAGAATAGAGCAATATCTATATATACTTTATGCATTCACAACATACATAAATTTTCTTTTTTGGTATCTCTGTCTGGCTACATAGTTCATCTGTAAATATTTTCAAATCATTGCAAATCTCCAAAAATATTTCCAATATATTTATTGAAAAAATCTGCATATAAGTGGACCCATGCACATCAAACCTGTGTTGTTCAAGGATCAACTGTGTACATGTGTTTATATATTATTTTTCTCCCAGCAATATAGATAAGAAGCTATGGGTCCTGAGAAGTGTCTGTGGGCTGGGATAGGAAAGGAGATAAAATTTAAGGCATGAGATGCCCAGGGAAGAGGGTGAGGGAGAGAGAGGATGGAATTCTTCAGATGACCAGACTGGGCTGCTAGCTGGATGGGGCATCTTTTTACTGCCCTCGAATGGAAGTAACTCATGTGGTGCCTTATCCCCAATGCCTGGCATAGAAAGTTTTTAATTTTGAAGTGAATAGATTGTTTTGAGGGAGAGGAGGAAGAACAGCATAGGACAGGGAAGACAATGAGTTCATTTTTGGTTCTGTGGAGTTTGAAAGACACGTGGCTGGTTGGATACGAATATACAGCCCTGCAGTTTGGGTTTTGTAATCCACCAGGGATAAATGGCGGTTGAAACTGATGGGGATGAGATTATCTGGAGCAAACAGATAGAGTGAGAAAGTCCCTGGAGAGTTAATATTTATAATGTAACCAGAGATCCTCACAGAAGAGCCAGAGAGGTAAGAAGGTCTCCTGAAGAGCTGGCCAGAGGAGTGTATGAACTACTACAAAATGGTAAATAAAGTGTTTCAGACAATGGGTCTGTGTGTTCTTGCATAGTAGTTTTTGGTTGCCTACCACGCCCAAGATCCTAAATTGGCATTTGATGATTCAAACAAACAACACTTACTTGCAAATTTTGTAACATACTTTTCTTCAGAAAAAGAAGTGTGCACCAGATATTGCCTCTCAAGTTTTGCTCCTTGGCAACATTCCAAAGACACATGGGCATGGAGGTGGTGCATGAGTGCATAGTGTGTGAGTGCACAGACATAGCCGCTGGTAGCTCAGGTTTGCATCCTGGCTCTGGTACTTCTGGGCTGGGCAAAGTTGGGGAAATTACTCAACCCCTCTATGCCTCAGTTTCCTCACTGGTAAGGAGGGATTATTAAGAGCACTACTTCATAGGACTGTTATGAAGATTACCTGAGATAATACATAATAGTGTTTAGAACAGTGCCTGGCCCATAAATAAGCAGTGTGTGCCATGCTGTGCTGTGCTAGGTCACTTCAGTTGTGTCTGACTCTTTGTGACCCACTGGACTACAGCCTGACAGGCTCCTCTGTTCATGGGATTCTCCAGGCAAGAATAATGGAGTGGGTTGCCATACTCTCCTTCAGGGGATCTTCCCAACCCAAGGATCAAATCCACATCTCTTACATTTGCTGCACTGGCAGTTTGGTTCTTTACCACTAGTGCCACCTGGGAAACACAAGCAGTGTATAAATGTAAGTTATTGTCATGATTCCTAAATACTATCCAGTAGGAAGAATTTGATAGCAAAATTATCCAGCAGTATTAAAATTCCTGTAATTATACTGAAAACCAAGCAGATGTGAAAGAAATCCCAAGTGAGACAGGTTTCCATTTTTTGGAGATGCTACCATATTCATTGCAGAAAGAAGGATTCTGAGTTTTCTCTTGTAAACTTTGGTCCAGTAGGTGGTTACTTTTCTGTCTACATGACCTGGCCTTAAGAGACATGTAGTAAGTAATCCCAGAACAAATGATAAACCACAAAGATTTTGAAGCTAGATTCTGACTGCTCCTGGGGTGGGTGTGTGTGGGTGTGTGTGTGTGTGTGTGTGTACACATATTTAGGTAGAGAGACAAAATATGACATACACTTTTCTAATGAAAGATGATTTGAAATTTATCTGGATCCATGACATTGATACTGTATTTCAAAATCTATTTAATTCATAATTGAACTAATTAATTTAAAGCTAAGAATAGGTGATTTAGGCCAAAACCATTCATTTACTTTTTATACAGAAACTGTCATCTAAACTTCAATGGCTTTTTGTTTATTCTTTATCAAAGGGAGAAACTTACTTTCATGATAGGGAGAGATTTCTATATTAAAGTTTATTCTGAAAAATGCATGTAGTGTGTAAATATTGGCAAATGAAATGAGCATTTTGAAAGGCTTTGAGAATGTCCAAGTATATCGCTCCATATAAAAATTACTTGGCAGAAATTTTAGAAAACCTTTCTAAGAGCTCCTTGCAGAATTTAGAAACTCCTTTCTTTGGGACTTCAAGACCATTAACTGGGTCACAAAAATTGTTAATTGATATCCTCAAACAACTACTTATCTAAGGTACCTGTTCATACAACAGTAGCTTTATAATGACTTCATGTAGAAACAACATAATAATCAAAGATCAAGGAAAAATTATTAGGTTCTTTTGATAGGGATAGATCTTTCTGGAATGCCACTGACTGATAACTAAGAGGACAATGGTAAGAAGTTTTTTCTATAATGCTGTTTGCTGGAGTTTCCAGTTTCTTAGAATCAAAATTTAAAAGACTAATGGAATTTGGGCAAGGGAAAAAAAAAATCAGTGGAGCCCTGTATCTTATAGATAGATGGAAGAAGGTGCATGAAAAGAACATCATGATAATAGCCCTTTAGAAAAGCGACACATTGCAGAGTCTATTTGTTGTAAAATAAGTAGATTTACTTGAGGAGTGGGGGCTTCCCAGCTGACTCTAGTGGTAAAGAACCCAGCTGCTAATGCAGAAGACAAAGAGATGTAGATTCAACCCCTGGATTGGGAAGATCCCCTAGAGGAGGAAATGGCAACTCACTCCAGCATTCTTATCTGGAGAATCCCATGGACAGAGGAGTCTGCTGGGCTACAGTCCATGGGATTGCAAAGAGTCAGACAAGACTGAAGCAACTTAGCATGCACACACGCACATGAGAAGTGAGGCTGTAATATAGTCAGGCTGCTGCTGGAAACAACTGCATCAAGAGCATGTGTGTCCACAGGCCACGATCAGTTTTACCCCCACACTAAGCACAATGCCAGGCACATAGTACGTATTCCATTACTCTTTGAATTTAAAGCTGAGAATAGTTAGGTGATTTAGGCCAAAGCCATTCATTTACTTTTGTACTTTTTTGCACTTGATTGTGCTTCTAAAAGAGAAAGTTACAGAGTGACATCATTTGAGATGTTACTAAATACAAAATTGCTTTTGAGAAACAGTCATGGTGAGGATGGGGAATAGATGAATACTCCAATAGATGAAGGAAAAGGGCATTGGTAAAGTTTTCTGAGTCCAATTGCAGAAATAATTGTATTTTCTATATAGAATTTCTTTAGTGATCACTGTATCTGATACAAAAAGAGGCAGTATTGTCAGACTGTCTGAACTACAAATGGACAGATCAAATTGACTCTTTGAATATATATCTGTCTGCACGCATGACATAAAATAAAATGAAAAGCCATCAAACACTGGGACGAACTGTGTTGTTGAACACAACCCAGGATTTCTACAGCCTTACATCTCTTTGACTTCAGGTTTAAAGTGTGAAATATAGGTGGGGTCAGTATTGCTGTTATACTGTATTTTATTACATTTCGGATTTTTTTTAAAGGCAATTTCAAATGTCTTGAGCACATATTTTATTAAAGATTTCTATTAGAACTGCAATCTAAGGTTCTGCTGAATAGATTCTTTCTGAGACGTGGTGATGGTCTCTGGCTTCAGGCTGTGTTCTGTCTGCATCTTGTGAAAAAGGACTGATGTGGGTTTGGAAACACACCCATTAGATAAGGAAAAACACCTTTGAATGAAAGGGGCGAGAAATGTGTCTCAGTCTGAACAGACCCTAAACTTTTCACTCTCCAAGGGGAAGGAATGAAAGCAGCCTCAGAGAAATCTGTAGCAGTAGCAGAAGCCAAGAAATGAAACGGAGGCTCACTTCTAAGGGTATCAAATGGTTTTCAAAGAGCTTGGGATTCTCTGAGGCTTCTTTTCTCGGGCCTTTTCTTCTGAAAATCAGTCTCTTTTATATGTTCCTGACACTGTGGTTGGAAAACATAACTTGCTTGTTTTTCTCTAAAGGTAAGGGCTTTCTGTTTTGAAAAGCTATCTGCTCACACACTGTGGGAAAAAAAAAAAAAGATGTGAGGGCTTAAATTCAGCAGTCAGTTACTCTTTCAATTGTAACACAAATCTGTATCATTTAAAAGTATATGAACACATTTGTAATTCTTGTCTGACTAGACTGTACTTAAATATATATGTGTATCTCTCAGAATGATTTTATCATAGTCATGTAATAGGTAACATATTCTTAAACTACAGTGATTTTACATCTAGAAGGGATATTAGAAAGTAAATTTTTCTGCTATTTATAGTTTTTCTCAATCTCAAAAAATCCAAGCAATTTTTCATTTTTACCCTTTCCATAGCCTTCTTCACATGTGTCCTTGTTCATCTTATTATGCATGCCTGCATGCCAAGTTGCTTCAGTCGTGTCCGATTCTTTGCTACCCTATATGGACTGTATCCCACCAGGCTTCTCTGTTCATGGGATTTTCCAGGCAAGAATATTGGAGTGGGTTGCCATGCCTTCCTCCAGGGGCCGTCCCAGCCCAGGGATTTGACCTGTGTCTCTTATGTCTCCTGCATTGGCAGGCAGGCTCTTACCACTAGCACCACCTGGGAAGTCCTATTGAGCTTACCGTTGAGTCCCAGTGTCTAACTTAGTATACCACATAACATGTGTGTGGTGTGAACAAAGGTCCTGAAAGACCATTTAGTATTGTTGTGTCCCTTGTCCTTTGCCGTGTGTCCCGTAAGCAGCTTAGCTTCTTATCTTCCCAAAGTAATAGGCATTTAAGAGTTGGTTCACATACAAGGAGCCTGATCTAGAATAGTCTGAAAGATAATGGAATTTGATTACATGCAGTTTTGTGGCATCTGAGTAATAACCAAAAGGGAGCCATCTTTTATCCCCAGGGAAATAATAACAGAGATGTAAGTTGAGTTGGCAGAGATCTTGCCCCTAGGGAATGTCAGAGCCAGAAAAAATACAAGTGAGGATCGGTTACCTTAGTCTAAAGGTGAACACGTTCAGTTGATCAGCAAACGTTTATTGAGCACCTACTATGTCCAGGCGGCTGTGGCAGGGGTCAAGGATGCAACGCTCCTCCTTGACCCCTGCACAGCCCCCCAGGAAGGCGGATTTGGACATAGCCTACCTCCGCAGAGCAGCCCCTTGTGTCTCACGCAGGAGAAGTTGTCACACTGGCAGTAAGGCCCGTAAATGTTTCCATAGGAGGACAGGTGGCAGACACACTGCCCGCAGTAGCAGTCGCCTCTCCCGCTGCACGAGGGGAGCTCTGGGGCCTCTTTGCAGGACTCGGTGCTCAGCATGTCCTCCCCGCACTCGCAGTGGTGACCCATGTGGCCAGGGTTGCAGGCGCACACCCCACACTGGAAGGAGCCGTTGCCGTTGTTGCACTTGGGGCTGTTCACCTCCACTTCTTTCTGGCAGTCACAGCTGCATTCCGGGCTGACGAGGATTTCCAGAGCATCCCCCAGCCCCACGGGCTTGAGGATAATGTGCCTGCTCCTTCTCTCACAGTTTGGTAAACTCACAGTCACGTTGAATGAAACCTGGAAAAGAAAATACAAGCCATCAAAATGTGCTGGAGTATACAGAGCTCATGGGGACCAGCTTTCCCAAAAGCATTTATTAGGAAATCTTTGAAAATTGCTTTTGAAATTCTTGAAAGGAAAAGTCCAGCTTTCGTGCGCTAAGATAGCTTCTGACAGATCACCTGAATGACTTTTCAGATGTTCTATTGGTCTGTACTTACAATGTCTCCCACCTTCATGTGAGAGCATTTCTTTTGGTGTGGAAAGGGGATCCCGGTGTTACAGATGGCTGTGAATGACAGGTTGAGTCCTTCTGTGTCTCCTAACACTTCCAGCTCCACCTCAGACCGCAGTTCCTTTAGATAAGACATAAAGAGTTGAACAAGATCACAACCAAAAAATAGAGCCAGAAGAGAAGAATCTGTGATCATGTTCGTTAAACAACAAATGAATAAAATTAAATTTGGTCTAAAAGAAATTCACCAGATGACCAATCAAGCAAGAAAGCAAGTAATACACACACACACACACACACACACACAAGCATATTTTATCAAATCTAAGATGGCATCCATTACAAGATTAACCATTATTTTATGACAATTAAACTGTGACAAAAATACTTGGAGATTGTTCAGCACTATATATGAATTAAACCTGTCAGTTCATCATTGATTTAAAAATTATTTTATTCATCTTGAGGATTTGGCAAATTTCTCTAGCCCTGAATTGAAAGGACTGGATTACAGTTCAGTCTTATGAATTATAGTCCAAGCATGTCATATAAAAGGCAAATCTTTTGTTTCTATCTCAGTAGCAAAATATAACAATTGCTTTCTTTACTGGTCTTCTAAGTATCATCACTTTTTAGGTCCCATAAAGCAGCTGGTTATTACTCTGAAAGGAATACAGATCATTCCTCCAACAATGAATACTTGCTTTGCTGATATCAGTATTTGCTTCCCTGTTACTCTGTCTGGTACATTTCCACATATATAATAACTTTTCAATATCAAATCATAGTGAAAACTTGGAAGATATTTTAAAATTGTTATTGTCCTCAACACTTATAGTACCAACAGTGCACATAATGAATGAATTGAAGTGACGACAACACATTCAATTACTGCCAAGTTATACATGTGCAGGCAATGAAAACTACATTGTGACTTTCACTCTACTGAAAGCACTGGTAAGATGTGACTAATCAAAATGTATCCTAATGTTAGAGATGCTAAAATGTGAGAGAAAATGTGCCTTGAAATCAATACTGGAATTTATAGAGTCCCTTTTGTACTTTTAGTATAGAGCCAAGTCTGGGGGAATGAGTATAAGATAGGATTTCTGCCATCAAGATGATCATCTTGCTGAAAAAAATAAGATGCAGTCAAGTGAAGCAGTTAGCATACAGTGTCAGTCAGTGTACCATTAAATTAGAAAAAAAAAATGTGTAATACGTAAGGGTTTGGGAGAGATCAGAAAAGAGGGTAGTCAGTGAAGGCTGAAGTATTAGAAGACCGGATCTTAAGGGCTGTGTTGGATTTAGATTGCTGGAGGGGATGACAATGGTATTTCAGGTGAGGGGACCAGAAAAGAGAAAAGTCTGTGCCAGGAATTGTTCAGAATGGAGACAAGAGGGGCTCAGCCCAAGCCTGCACCCCAACTGTCTGGGGAGATACCCGACCACAGAAAGCCCTGTAGTTTAGAGATGAGTTAAGACCTGTGGGAAGCATTTCCTGAAGCTTTTAAACAGCAGCCTGATTTATTGAAAATACCACTGCAGGGAGGCTGTCTGGAAGGTGTGTGCAGGACAGGCTAGAGGAGAGGATAGGGAAAACTTGAGTCAAGGAAGCTGGCATGTGATTGCATTCACCCCTGCCTGAGGTGTGATGAGGAATGAGATGGTTGATTACAAACGTAAAGAAAGGAGAGTACTAGATATGGGATGTGTGGGTTATTGCAGGAGGGACATAAAAGCAACATTTTCCAGGAGAAAGACTGTCAAGAAAAGTGGAAAGGAAAGCTATTAGTTTGGGGGAAAGCTAGTGTTGTTATTATTCAGAGCTTCTTTATTCCTCTTTCTTTTGTAAAAGAGAAGTCTGTATTTGGGGGATAAAACTAAGTTATTTTTTAAAAACAGAATAAAAACAAATTGTAAAATACTATGAATTAAGTCATACCTCCTCTAAAAGGATCTGACTTCCTAGGCACATTCCACTGATAGAATTTTAAAAGCATATTCGGATTCAAACTTTCCTGAAGTATAATTTGTCAACTGTATGTTAAGAGGACCCCACCTTCCTTATAATTCTAAGTTGCTTACTGTAAATTCTGAGTCACTCCTCTTCCCTGCTTTGTTATTTGTTCCACATGATCACTCCTCCCACCAACAGACACAGGCTGACTTTTTAGAATGTAGTCTTTGTCAGAGGTTAAAGTATCATTTCTCAGTCCTAAAGATTATTCACATCATGTCTTAAGATTTCAAATTCTGCCAATTTAGCATTAAAATGAACCCTGCAAATCTGTTTTATCTTAGCTAGTTACATTTCCAGTTTATTCACTCAGAAAATATTTATTGAGTGGCCACTATGTACTGGACCCTGTTCTATAAAACCTCTAAAATAGTTGATCCCTTGACTGAGTTTATACTCCAGTGTGGGAGGACAGAAAGGAAACCACACAATACATAAGAAAATTACGTAGCGCCAGAAGGTGATAAATGCTAGAGGTAAAAGCTAGGGTGGGATAATGACGATTAAGAGAGTGTGGGCAGGGGGTATAGGCTGTGATCTTTTAAAAGTGGTCAGGGTGGGATTTGTTAAGAAGGTGATGTTTCAAGAAAGTGAGAGAAAATTAGCCATGCATGTTTATGTGAGAAAATGTGTTTCAGGAAGAGGGTGCAGCCAATGTGAAGGCCCAAAGATAGGCTGATGTCTGGAAGCAGAACAGCAAGGAGGGCAGAGTTACTGTAGTGGAGCAGAGAGTTAGAGTTAACAGAAGGTGAGTTCAGAGGTAATGGGGTGGAGGGGACCCTGGTAGGGTACTCATGGAATGTTACAGGCTTCAACTGTTTCTCTACATAAATGAGAAAAAAATTAGGGTTACCTAGAGAAGGGTGATGGTGATCCGCCTGCCAGTGCAGGAGATGTAAGAGAGGCGAGTTTGATCCCTGAGTCAGGAAGATCCCCTGGAGAAGGGCACGGCAACCCACTCCAGTGTTCTTGCCTGGAGAATCCCATGGACAGAGGAGCCTGGTGGGCTACGGTCCATGGGGTCACAAAGAGTCAGACAAAACTGAAGCGGCTTGGCACGCATGTAGGCATGCACATAGAAAAGTGATAGGAGTTAATATTTTTAATGAAAATTCTAGCCGTTTTGTTGAAAGCAGGATGCAGGAAAACAGAAGTAGAAACAGGAAATAGCATTTAGGAAATTTTGCAATAATTCAGGTGAATGAGGAGGATGGCTCCAACTAAGACAACAGTGATTGGATCAAATTCTAAATGAATCTGAGGGTAGAGTCCACAAGATTTCCTGATGGATTGAGTGTAAAGTGTAAGAGAAACAGAACAGTCAGGATCACTTCAAGCATTTTGTCTCTAGCAATATGAAGAATGGAATTACCATTGGTTGAGGAGGAAAAACTATTGGTGAAGTGTGTTTGGGAAAGTCCAGCTTATTCTGCTGAATAACCTGGACTAACATATCAACTGACTCCTAGATATCTCCATTTGGATGTTTAATAGAAACATATATCCTGGTTGCCAGGCAGCATAGAGGGCCTGCTTGAGGTCCATGATCCTGAATTTAAAGTGAGACCAGGAGGCATGATTGTATGTTTTTCCCACTTTCCTTCAGCCGTGCAGAGTGGCTGGATTTGACCAGGACTACAGCTGGCCAAAACCCTCAAAGAAGCAACAAGGTTCAGGGAAGTTGAGAGTGTATCTAAGGAGTGGCCAGAATGATTGAATTTAAACTGGAGAACCAGGTAGAGAAGACATCAGAGGGATGAGGAACTGTACAGAGAAGATATGGTCAATTAATTAGAGATCCTAGTGGGGCTGGAAACAATATTAGGGGAATTAGCAAGAAGAAGGTGAAAAGATTAGAAATGATGAGTGGACAATTGATTGCACACAATCGATACTATGAAGGTGTTTATTGGCAAGCATAAGGCTTAACGTATGACAAGAGAGTGAAGATATGAAGAAGTAATTAAGTGGGAAGGGAACAACATCATTTCAGAATCAGAGTTCAAGAAACTGAGAGCCCAGGATATGGGAAGGACCATGTATATATGGGCTGAAATCATCAAAAAATCAGATAGGAGTAGCACTGGAGATAGAGGCACAGTGAACTAAATGAGAAATGAGGGATATAACCTGAAAGTCTGTAGATTACAGCAGTTAGGGGTAGTGAGTAACATAATCTAACCAAAAGGAAGGAAATCTCAGCATTGATATAATATACCCTATTGGAGATTTCAACAAGAATATTTTAATATGATTTTGCCAAAGCAAGGACATAAATATATGTCTGTATGTTTCATCTTTTCATTCACTCATTTATTGAGCATCTACTATGAGCTAGACAAAACAAAACAAAACAAGTCATTTCTTTTTCTTTTTTTTTTAACAAGTCGTTTCTCTTCCAGGACTTCAATGCCAACCGAGGAGCTTACCCTTGGGAGCATTAATATTTCAACAGTTTTATTATGTGATTAGAGAAGGAAAGAGAGTAATAAATGATGGCCAGATGACTACACATCTGGTATTTAAGGTTTTTTTTTTTTAATGTCAGTGTAAAATACTGAGCTGAAGTTTGTAGTCACTAATTATAAACACAGATTGTTTGCCTCTGCCCCACTACAAGTCAGAAGTCTTCTATGTTTTTTCTCAGTGTAGTCTCTTTGCTTCTCTCTCTTTTTCTAGGTTGGGAAGAAATCCAGTCCATGGGTCCCCACGTTTTAAAGTCCTTTTCAGTTCAGTTCGGTTCAGTAGCTCAGTCATGTCCTTTTTGGATACATTTAAAAATTACACAATAGAAAAACAAGTTGAACTAGTGCCAAGATTTGCTGCATACTTCATAGTGACTTATCGAGTTTCAACCATAACTCCAGATCAAGATTGTTTGATTTAAGAATAATAGACACTTCATAATTTTGAGACAGTAAAATATAGACACAAGATTCACTTCATATGTTTGATGTCTTAATTTCAAGTACTCTGTAAATTATGTGAGTGACTGGGAACATAAAGTGAGACATAAACTCTGACAAAGCAAGCAGAGGCCTAGACAGGGCTGGTCAGATGGGATGGGAAATATTTTTGACAATTCACTGTTTTATAATTTGCTTACCTCCTGTGAAGATGCTAGTAGCCAGCATTTTTGAGAGTCTTGAATTAAAGAAAATTGAGCATGTTCTAACACAGTGAAGGTTTGCCACGTGATTTTATTTGATTCTACACATTAAAACTTTACTGCTTGAGAGGGAGGAAGGTTTTTATAGTATTTTGTTGACAAGCTTTCCTGTCTGGAAGAATTTCAAGCATGAACTAACATGGTGATTAATTTTTGATGTGAGCTAAGAAAACTGAAGTTTCTGAGGATATGAATTAAAAACACCCTCATCTCATAGCTTTAATGAACCATCTGTGTTTTATTCTTTGAGAAAAAAAATACGTTGCTTTTCCCTGTTAGAGTCTCAAAATTGGTGGGGTGATGTAAAAAAAAAACTGGGGTGGGGAGTTTCTTAAAATATGTCGCTCTTCCTCCACTTAAAGTTCCCCTAAAACATTTGTGAAAGGAATCTAGACACACCTATTTTAAAAAAACCTTCCAGATGATTCTGAAATGTCAGGGAACACTGGTTCTGTATATGCTAAGTATTGTTATACAGTGCATATGTATCACTTATTTGTAATTTTAAAACATCAAAAATTAGCATTTTATTCATTTGTTATTATACAACTGACATTTGGAGCAAATATTAGAGCTTTACTGCTTTATAAAATGTTATTTTTTTCATTCTTGTCCTAATGTAGGACTTCATCTTTGTGTGTGTATGTGTGCTTGCTTCTTTGTAAGGAAAAGCAAAAGAGGGGCTGACAGTGATATTTAGGAACCAAAATAAAAAGAGTTGGCAACAGGCCACCCACTGTTGATTGGGTTATGAAATGGAGACAAAGAGAGAACACATAGCAACCCTGTAGGTATGTATCTTATTTTAAGGGAAGAATTCTGTCCTCAGGCACTAATTTACAAAGACAAGGCAAAAAAAGAAAAAAAGTTAAAAATATATTTATATGATATAACACTAATAGAAAATTTCCCTGATTCCTCAAAGCAGAGAATCTACAAAGTGGTGTTCCTGATGTGCTTTGCTGTGTTTTCCCTTGAGTTATGATGTAGTCTCATTAAGCCTGTGGAGTTAGTTCTCATGGCTGTTATTCATTGGCAATCTAAACAGTTTTTTTTTTTTTAATTTTTTAGGCAGAGAAGAGGAAAGCTTAATTGTATGACTCATGAAGCCTTTTCAGTAGAATTAAAATTCTGCAGGTGACAATGCCGCTATTGGTTATTACTATAAAAACAACCTTAACTTTATGATCAGGTTTATGAGTTTTCTACCTTCTGCCCCACCTTCTGGGAAAAATATCTGCAAATAAAGTGAGCAAAATTTACATTTTGGCTGCATTAACGCAGAGAGATTTTCTTTGGATAAGCACTATCTCTACCAACAAAGGAGAGTGCATTTAACCGCCTAAAACATATCTTAGTTTTTAAACATCAAATAAATGCAAAAAGACCCCAACAGTAAAATATCATACTTCATAAGCTGAGATGATCAGCTGGAGAATGTTTCCAGAGTCCTTCTGAAGTATCCCTACTGTAGCTCCAGGAATGAGTTTTGCATAATTCTGTAAACAAACAAACAAACAAATAAGTCAGTCTTTGCTCACTGTAACTGAGAAGCATTAAGTGTGGGGTTCAACCTATTGGTTGAGATCATCTCTATTTAACTGGCCAGGAGAAACAGGTTCCTGATAATAAACGGCTTTTGTCCTGAAACTGTAGTTGTGTCTCATGCTGCTTCCTGAGCTCAAGCAGGAAATGAAATGGCCAGAGTGGCTGCTGGGGAAATCTAATGTCTGTGGTGGCCTTAGTCTAGGGCCTTAATTGACATCACAACAAGAGTTAAGTCTCAAATAGAAATAGCATGTATATAACATTTTTGATTTGGGGAACATCCTTTTTCTAAAAAGTTCTGAGCTTACCAGGAACTGTCTTCTTCTATTTTTTTTTGTAGCAGTGCAGAAACTAAGGCTTGGGTCTCCGAGCCCCTCAAGTCCCTCGCAGTCATTATCAGTTGCTTGGTAGGGCAAAGGAGTGAACTGCTTGAATGCTTGCTGCTAACTCCTCCTTTCCTAGCAATAATGAGCACTCTCTTAGGGATGTCAGCACCATACTGGAGTTGGCTGGAATTGCTCCTCACTCATCAGGATTGTGTGCATCAGCACTTAGCTCTACACCCTCTGCACTCTCCATGTACGTTTCTTCTCCTGAGATGTCATTCCCACCAGAAGTGAATTCACTTTCATCTTCTTCCCTTCAGGTATCAAACATGGCTAAGGAATGAGGCATTGCAAAGAAAGCAATTTTCTAGACTGCTCAAAATTATCCCTTCCTTAAGTTTATTCTTTAAAACTATTGTCAAACAAAAATTTTCCTAAAATATATAGGACAGACTTCTGTCTTCTTAAATTAAGACATTCAAGCATAACTTGATGTTTTTCTTGACTAAATAGTCATACTTATCAATCTTAACTATAACTCTATAATAATCAAAGACTTCTAAAGTTTAGAGATATATCACACCCTTACCAAATGGACCCCACCCTCTATGCTTTTGTTTATTTTATTTGTTTTTAAATAGTTTCTGTCTTCTTGTTAAGCTGTAAGGTATCACTCTCCTACTAAGTCATTAATTCATTTACTATTGAGTGGCCATCTATTAAGTAGGCCTAATATGTTGTGCTATTTCAAGAAGAAACAATCACTCATTTTGTCAGCTGTTCTCTTCTAAAGTATTTGTGTGCTGCAAAATTAAATGACTGAATTTATTATAATTGTAGGGAAAAAAGAGAAATAAGCTTTGAGTGAAGAATTTAGGGCAGTTCCTAAGGTTCAAACATAGTAACACCCTATCTCATTTAAGTAGTTAAAAAAATGCACAAAACTAAATTGGAATTGGGGCTTCCCCAGTGGCTCAGCAGTAAAGAATCTGGTGCAATGCAGAAGACACAGAAGACATGCATTTGATTCCTGGATTAAGAAGATCCCGTGGAGGAGGGCATAACAACCCAGTCTAGTATTCTTGCCTGGAAAATCCTATGGATGGAGAAGCCTGGTGGGCTATAGTCCTCAGGGTCGCAAAGAGTCAGACACAACTGAAGTAACTGAGCACAAATTACATCAATTTTTATTATTAATTATAATCATGATGCTAAATAAATAAATCAAGACGAAGGAAATCAAAGAGAGGAACAAATGAAGCCTAGCTGATGTTGGCACACCAAGGGGTGGTAGGAGGTCCCCCACTAGAGGTGGGCACCCAGGATAAATCCAAACCTTCTACTCCTTGTACATGGGAAAGCGAGCTTTGGTTTTAATTTGTGGGTTTTGTTTTACTTATTTTACCATTTGTGATTGTGTTTAAATTTGAAGAGGATGGAAATCTGAACTCTTAAGAGTATCAGCTGTCTATCTGCTTTGATCTGCATTTTATTATTGAAGGGGCTGTGGGTAACATCCAGGTAACATCCCTTGAGTTACTTTGGGTCTCCCCATCACTGCTTGTTGAATGGGGCCCCCTTTGGTTTCCCCAAGTCAGGTAAAACTTGTCAAACATGAGGAAGGCACCAGTTCATCAACTTACCTTTTCAAATAAACACATGTCAAAAGGGCCATGAAGCATGAGAACTGTGGTTAGCAGCAAATACCTAAATGGGAACTTGGATTTCACTCAAGTGGAGCTGGAATGTGTGTAAATTTGACTGGTCCCAGAAGAGAAGGTGGAGGAAATCTTTAGAGCTTGACAAAGAAAGGTTTAGAGCCATTTGACAAAGAATTCCAAGGCCCTTAGCTCTGCATGAAGCTGTTATCCTTGAAAAATGTCCTGGGATCCCCAAGGCCAATATATAATGAATATTTTCTAGAAGCACTAGTTCAAGTGGCCTCCAGATTTGGAGTTAATTCTTGGTTAACAAAGCCAAATCCATCCACTTCCTAAAGTATAATTATGATCATGCCTGTGTATGACATCTGACTTTCGGCTATTAGGACAAGTGGTATAACGTTAATAGCATTTGCTGATTGCCACTAGAGCAAGGGTACAAAGGAGTTGGCAGCTAGCAGTTCCCAGGGATGACACTGATCATTGTGGAGAGGAAGACTATTAATTAATTTCTGGATGCTGATTTCCTGTAACAGCAGTGCAAATAACTAACTAAGGACGTGGCCAATTTGGCTTTCTGATCTAACACTGTAGAAAAAAATACACTTTAAATCTTGCAGTATTATGATTACTGTAAATATCATGTATCAAATGCCTCTCTTTTACTAAAACTCTAAAGTGCTATTATAAATTGTCCTGATTAAACATGTTTAATGTTAGAAAAAGGGTGATTTTGCATGCCTGGATGTGAAAAATTATAGCAGTGTGATTGGGAAAGAGAACTCTTGGATATTAGAAATGGTGAACTCTGAAAACACAAGGTTGTATGAGCTGATTAGATATGCAGACTTCTCTGTTTGGGCTTGAATTTCCTGGGCTTGTGATCCCTGTGTTCTGTCCATGGATTTTCCTAATTATGGATTTGCTCCCCTTCCTCACCACCATGCCACCCAGGAGTTCCTGAGGTTGCTTTTCTCATTCGTATTTGCAAGGTTGGCTTTTTCTGCTCACCTTCATTTTCTTGACTTCCTTCATCAAGCCCTATTTTTTTCCTTTTGGCTCACTTTGCCCCCATCTCAGAAAAAATTTATTTGTCCAACAGTCTCCATTTGCTCCCTGGAAATCTCCTGTCTGTCAAGGGTAGAGGATAAGACAAGGACAAAGGGTGATTTAGCTGGCAGGCATCAAAGCCTTCAGAGGATTGTGCCTGAGTTCACACCTGCACATACCAGGGTCCTCTCAGAGAGTGTCTCTAAGTGCTCTGGTGCTTGCCTGAGGGCAGAGGAACCGCAGATCCACACACCTGCCACCCCAGGTCACCATGGATAGGCTTTCGGGTTGTTACTCTCCTCAGAGACTTGGGCTGAGGACCTTGGCTGCCCCTTGGCTGCTTTTGATGCTCTCTTGCTGTCCTCTCCTTGGGAGAGACGGCTCCTGAAGGGACTGCCGCTACTGCTCTGATGGCACTTCCTGTTGGGTTAACGCTCACCTTCAGGTTCAGAGCCTGGCTCTGTTCTGCGATATGGTTTATTATTAGCTATATCCTTGCTGGACATCGTGATTGGGCTTTTGCCTTTGGTGGTGACTCTCCTGGACCCTTATATCCTTCTCTTGTGACATTTCTACTGTTGTGTCGTGGGTTGTTCACCACCTCAGGCTCATTGGCCACCATTTTGTACAGACCACACTATAATGTTCCTTAGTGGAGGAAGGGGGCTTCCCCACTGGCGCTAGTGAACCCTCTGCCAGTGTAGGAGGCAGAAGAGATGCAGGTTCGACCCCTGGGTCGGGAAGATCCCCTGGAGGAAGTCATGGCAACCTACTCCAGTATTCTTGCCTGCAGAATCCCATGGACAGAGGATCCTGGCAGTCTACAGTCCATGGGGTCGCACAGAATCGGACATGACTGAAGTGACCTATCATGCACAAAGCAGAGGAAGAGAAGTCGGAAGTCAACTTGCCATCTATCTGCTAGTAGCATTTTAATAAAGAATTTGTAAAACCAAATATTTAGAGCAACCTGCTGCTTCTCTTCAGGCTCTGTGCTTGCTTAACTCTTTCTGTGGAGCCTCATTAATATGGAGGGATTTTACACTCAGCCCTGTTTATTTTCAACATTATATGATTAACCAATGCCACTGTTCTTATTCTTTAACTATACCTACTAAATGTTTTCCTGCTAAAATATATTTATTACAAGGTTGACTTGTAAGATTAAGAATCTATGAACTTATATATACTGCTTACAAATATTTTCTCTAGTATTTCACAGTATTTTTTTTGGTCATTATCTTAAAATCTCTTTCATTAGTGGCTCCTGTTTGTGCATTGTCTCTCTCCCTCTCTCACAACTTTAGTAGCAGTATAACACATATACACAATATACAAGGAATAAGTATATAGTTCACTGAATAGTTAAAAAGTAAACAAGCAAGTGTAACTACCAAGATCAAGAAATAGAACACAATCAGCCCCTAGAATCCTCCCTTGTATTAACTACCTCCCAGTCATTGTGGAAAAAAAAAAAAAGAAAGCAAAAGTGTTAGTCACTCTTTGCGACCCTATGGACTGTGGCCCACAAGGCTCTTCTTTCTACGGGATTTTCCAGGCAAGAATACTGGAGTGGGTTGCCAATCCCTTCTCTAAGAGATCTTCCTGATCCAGGAATCAAACCCACATCTCTTGCATTGCAGGCAGATTCTTTACCATTTGAACCACCAGGTCATTACACCTCCTCTAAAAGCCCACCCACTGTTTTGACTTTTCTCACTATAGATAGAAGTCAGGGGAGATAACTTCATGCCCTACACCAAAGCCTGACCTATAAAGGAAAAGACAGATAAATAAATTTAAGAATTTCTGCTCTGAAAAGATGCCTTTAAGGGAGTGAGAAGAAACCACTGAGTGGGAGAAAGGATCTATAACACACGAATCTGATTCAGTACCAGAATGTCCAAACAACTC